TATCTTCTCATTGCATTTCCAGTAACACAGGAAATTAAGGTCAAATTGGCTTTACGCCTGGGAAACAAAAATATTGCCTGAAGCAACATTGGAAAAAAAACGTTTGAGCTTAAATCGCTTGTAATTTGATACCTGATGACATCATGATGACATCACAAAATCTTTCAGATCTGTAGACCAAGGTTCAAGTTCCTACCAGCTTTTATTGTCATCCCGTGAATCGTTTGGAAGAAATAAGGTTCGTTTGGATTGTGAGGCTCCTGTTTGTATTTAAATTCTCCTAACTTAGACCTTCCGGAAGACCAGGAAGTAAAGGTCAAGTGACTTGAAGTACCAAAAATGTTTATTAATGAATGGTCTATCTGACTACAAAATATGAACATGATCCATTATTTAGTTAAAGAGTTAGAGGTGAAAGAACACGGCCATTTTTAAAAAAATGAAAATTGCTTGTAGTTTGACACCTGATGACGTCATCAGACAACAGAGTAATATATTGCACCACTTGGGGATCGTGGTCGATATATGTTCAAAGTTACAAGTTCATATATAAACCGTTTAGGACAAAACCTGCGGAGAATTATTGTAGGGGAAAAAAGAAGAAGAAACAAACAAAGAAAGATTAATATGTAAAATTTTAAAACAGTAATCGGGTCATACACAATCACCCAATGAAAGATGTGTGTTTCCAAGTGTGAGATGTACATGTAACCATGCTGGCTCTCTGAAAAATCAACATATTCTTACATTTGTAAAACTTAATTTTCAATTAATAGGAAAAGTGTTCATAGTTTTAGTATAAAATGGAAATGAATGCAAATAACATTTTTAATCAGAAAAGTTTTGAAGCTTCATTATAACAAAACTTAATATTTAAAAGCAACTGGATAAAACATACATGTAAAGGTCAACTTTTAACAAAGATACAGTTTTACGGTAAATCATATATGATCCCATAATTGTTTCTTCACAGTGATTTATGAATGCCGCATCAAATTATTATCGTTTCTTTAAATAAACGTCTCAGTTCAAAATAAAAACCTTGGGGTTTTTAACGCAATTTGCATACACCTTTTAGTATTCACAGATGTATGTACGTGTAGAAGTAGTAAGTAATATGGTTGTCTATTTGTAAAATTGCAATCACCTTTTTTGCCTTTCTTCAATGTGAATCAATGATATCACAATAGAAGATGCATTTGGAACAATCTATTAATTTAGGGTCCATTTTTTCCTGTCCCTTTATATCTACTTTATGAGTGAATTCTTCCTCCAAGAGTGCTTATTCGAATCATACAGCCTATTCAACAACAACAAAAATTAGTTGGAATACTTGCAACTTGCAAGTCATTTCGGATGTCACAGGAATGGCACAAAACAAAATTCAGAAGTAACAGGGACAGGTAAAATGTCAGACTTTGGACGTTAAATGAACATAATGACCTACTTGTGAGAGGTTCTGTATCATTACAGTTTATAGTATGTTAATTTAATAAATGATGGAGATGTTCGCTACTTTGAATAACTAATTTTCTCTAGGCTTGGTTGCCTTTGGGAATAAAGATCGAGAAACAGGGGTTAAATAGGGAATTGCATTTATGCAAATTATGAGGTTGTCACCTGACCTATACACAGCTTTGTATCAATGTCATTTACACCTCTAGTGTCAAAATAAATTGAATTAATAACTCACTATCTTTATTGGTGTAACACACCTCTGCTTCTTATCAGAACTCACTCACTTTCTAGAGACAGTCAACTCACATGTACCTACAAACTTTTAAGTTGAACCTCCACCATGCAAGTCTCAAATTTCACCTACAAAACTTCAATTTAACATGTTTAATAGGGGTGAGTGCGCCACCAGGTGTCTGACTATGGAGAGGTCAATGTTCAATTATACAATTGCATTTCTTTCAGCTGACATACCGTTTGTATGTGTTATCATCCTCTTTTGATTTATTTTTACCTGAATCCATTTTGAAAACTTTGTAACTAAACTCAACATTATTCCAACAACAAATTCCAAGGGTACCCTCCCAAACTGAATAGATATTTCTGTAAGTGTTTGTTGAAAGTTTTGATTAACTGCAAAGCAGTGGTCTCTCATTACAATTCTTGACAATTTAACATTTGGTCATTCAAGCGTAGTAGATATGCAGACATACATGCATGACTTAGCAACACTTGGAGATAGTAAACTTTCTTGGGTCTCTTCTTCAACTCTGTAGCCTACACTAATTTTTATTTTGGTACCTTATTCTTGATTTTTAGTGCATGATCATTGTTCAACAATGACTACAGTTAATGCACATGTATAGTACCCCCCAAGGATCTCATTTCATTCTTATTTTCACACATTATGAAAGAAAGAGTGGCGCGTTTTTAAGTTAGGGGCAATTCCATACCATTACTAAAAGTGGCAAATTTATGAAATCTTCAGAACAAGAATCACAATCTTAAATGTGGAACCGTATCCAATTTTGAGTGGTTCCAGTGAGATAAAATGTGGTGAATTAAAAAACAAACAAAAACAACAACATGTTTCGGGGCTTAATTCATAGTTGTTTTTGGTAGTCATGTGTTTGAAGTTGATTTCATACACGCAATGTTCGTACCTTTTTAATGTAATGTCCGTAACAACAAAAGCATGTTTTTTATAATATCAAAGTTCCATTTTGTAAAATGTCATTGGTATTTTTATAAAGTGAACCTATATCAAACATAACATAGTTATTTCATTAAATTCTTGCAAGAAACTTCACAGACTTTTGTCAATGCATTTTGGAAATCAAACATCTGTGTCTTAAAGCATAAAATTTGTAATGGTTGTTTACAGCGCTTATATGCATATCTTATTAATGAATTCAGCTCACATTACATTATTTACACATGTTGTACATTATTAAGGCCTAAGCTAGAGTTGTACCAAATTATATAGAATTTGCTTTCGCTGCAAGTATTTCACTTTATCGTTTCAAATTGGTTTTAGGCTCTGAATGTAAATTCCGTAACGATGGAAATGCAAACAGTCACTTTTGTTTGTGATACACTCTTCATTGGCAGTGCCTTGTGCAGTACACATCTGTGCTTGGGTATAATTCGTCGGGTGCCCGGCAGAAGGGTATATGAGCGTTCTGATGCAAAAATCATTTTCAAGAAAATTGCATTGAAAGGTTCCATTGTTCCCTCGCGCGCATTATGTATCCAATGTTCTCCCACACGTAATATAAATCGTACGAATTTGAAATTTGTCACACGTATGAATCATAAGTTTTGGATCAACTTGTATTAATTTCTGATGAAAATGTTTACATTTCATTCAAATGGAGGCAGTTTTCTGCATATGCCCTTTTGCTGGGAACATTTTGGTCATTACGCGCTATTGCATAAAGGCATGCGCACATATGCCCTTCTGCCGGGCACACGACGAATTGTAATGTACATTTCCTTACATTATATTTTCACCTTTGTATTTTTCTGTGTTGACAAAATGGGAGCTTGGGCCTACAGTTATAGGGCAACTAAATTTTTACTTCACTGGGGAAATGGATCAGAATTTAGTTCTTAATTTACAAAAATCAAATAGTCTCAGCAGAAAAAGATATATACAAAAGATATGATTTTTTTATGAAAAAAAATTTGAAACAAAATGTTCAGTTTTGGGTTCTGTCATTTTCAGTGAATTCAACTACATTACAACCATGTTGAAAGATCTCCTTGTAGTTTCATGGTTGGCTTTGCATTTATGTTTTCCTAATATTGTAAACACATATTGTGAAATGGAAAGTGGCCCTATAGTCACTGATTGGGCAAATTCTACTCAGATTTTAATGTGAAGCCTGATTTTCCTTGGGTATTTTCTTGGAGACATTTAATCTCTTTGCATTTGAAAAGTTTAATTAAATCAAACTTTGAAATCAAGAATCATTCCAACAACTTGTAGTCCAACCTGAGTCATTTCTTTTGCTCTTCTATCAATTGGGTGCTTGTCTTTTTTGTGTGAAGGGAAACCAGGAAATATCTTGAATGTAATAAAGTAATGTGTTTTCACCCAATTCATTTTAGAATAAATGTTCAACATGTATGTTCTAATGTTTAAAATGTTTAACCTTTAAAAGGCTGTTATTTTGGATTACTTTTGTGCACACACATATGCATAATGCAAGGAGACACATTCCCGGCATTTACATTATTGATCTTGATTAGGGGCAGCTGGGAAGCAATTAAACATGTGAGTAAATTATTGTCTGAGGGCAAATAATTCAAAATTTTGGGGTAATTTTTCATTGACTGAACGTTGGGGGGGGGGGAGCAATTTTCTCAGTTTGATGTATCATTCAGAAGTGAGTAATATTTAAACTGCTAGAAAACCTTTCTTTTATAGGTTTTGTAAGTATAAGTAAAAAAGCAGGCAAGTGGCATGCACAGCTGGCTTTATATTGATCACCTACAGTGAGAGCATATAGCTGCATCAAGTAACACCAACAGTCCTGACCAGTGAATCCTGCTTTATGTAGGCAGGGAGCACCCAACCATTAAAGACAGTCACTTGACTGATTTTGACTGAAATGACAACTTTGCACACAATGTATGTTTGCATTCAGAAGGGTTTATAATAAGTTATATTCCATAACTAGGTGAGCCATTTTTTTTGGGGGGGGGGGGAGGAGGGGGTAGTGATTTATGCAAGAGTGAGCACATAGATTGCTAGAGGAAAATAATAAATTGCAACCAAAATCTTCTTCATGCTGAAATTTGTAAATTACCAGGGCTACTGACTCCAAAAATAACATTGGCAACTTCTGATTTATTTTTTTGGGGCACTAGTTTCATGGAAATACTGCCATTTATGCACAGGAAACCTGCATTGAGCTGTGCCAACAAGTATTTGCCTCAAGAGGCCACTTTTCAACTCAACGGTCTTTATGAAAGTACACTTACTTCTACAAAATGAACTTACCTGTACATGGAAGTACATTGGGGAATCTGTTCTTGTTTTTGCAGACAGGTTTCTTGGCTTCCTCACAGTTGACTGCCACTGTCATTTCATATAGCACCTACATTTCAAAGTGAACAAATTGACAACACGTACTACATTACTTTTTCTCTAGTTGGACTTCCATTACAATAAAGAATTGTTGACAGGTGTGATGTGGGATATGACATTTTTAACATCCAAGGGGTGCATTTCGCCTCAGGTGTTGTGGGCCCCGAGAAGATTGAAAACAGCATACTTTTAAGTATCCCACATCACACCAGTCAACAAATGGGCTTGTCTTCAGACAAGGTGTTGTAGCAAGTAAAGATTCAAATTTCTCAAGAAATTCATTAAGTTGGTCTTTCTGTGCATAAATTAGCATAATTTTAATTAAAAAATTGATCCACTTTAAATATTAAAGTGGAACTTTTTATATGTGATAGTTGATTCAAACTTTAGATTCTAGATGCTCTGTGGTGCAATGTGAGGCATTTTCTGGCCACTTTCCTCTTACTTTTTGAATGAAATGTGCTCGTTTTTTGGGGAGATGGCGGAAGGTCATCAAAGTTGATCTCTTTGTAGCTTGAATCTCTTTCGAGATTTTACATCACAAACATTACATCAAAACTGTAACTTGACTCTCTTTCGAAATTTGCCCTCTTTAGCTTGATCCACGATTTTTTGTTTTGTGCAGCTGCAACCGCACCGGAGAGAATGTTCAATCTCTTGCCATGGCTTGCAGACCCGGATTTAGATTTAAAATAGACTTACACCACATAACTGCTGTTGTGTTAGTACCTGTTCGTCAGTCTGTGATGTGTAGAGGTGGGCATGGCTCTCCCCAATCTCAGCATTCATCTCAGCAATGGATGGACCAATCAGCCTATGGAGGGCACAAAATACAAATGAATATTTACAATAAGTGTCAACTGAACTTACCTGGGATGCAATAAGAGAGAAAGCCTCAAATATGTGAGTTTGGGAAATTTTGTAACAAAGCACTGCTGATGCTGAATCACTGAGAGAAATAACAAGTTTTGTTATGATGAATATAATTCAAATGAACAATGCAAGCGTTGTGCTGTTGAATGCTTTACATGCATGTAAAACACCAACCACACACTAGCTAAAAAATGTTGATAAATATAAAGAAAGTGAGGGAAAATTAAACCCACAACAGAACAAAACTACGTTCCAAAACTAATTACTGTCAGTTCAATTTTTACCTCTTTTTATTTGTTTACTTTTGTCTACACAACAAACTTGAGTATCCATGGGCGACAATCGGTGGGGGACGGGGGGACAAGTCCTCCCTCCCCACTTTTTTAAAGTCGGAGGATATCATATCATTTGTGTACCCCCCCCCCCCCCGCCACTTTTTTTGTCCCCGAATTAAAATTGTTGACAACAAAAGGATTCTATAGCTCACAATAACTGATGACTCCAAACTAAAAAATAGATGATTATTTTGTTCACAACAATTTGAAGTGGTCAGAAATTGCCTCAGATCACACCACAGAGCATCTAGAATACAACATTTTCCGGGGCCCTTAAGCGGGTTCTAGACCCCATGCCTGTTAGGGCTTCGCGCTCGCATTAACTCTGTTCAAGATATGCCCCTCCCCCCACTTTCGAGAATCAGGAAATTCCACAAGCGATAGACACCTGTGTGAGTATCCTGACTGGTAACATATCAAAGGATATTAAAACAGGTGTCATCTGCAATACAAGTCAGCTCAGAATAACTGTATCAGGTAATTGACCCTGAGGCTTCTTTATGTTTACCTTTCTGATAAACCTGTCCATAATCTTGCTAATTACAAGCTCTAGACTCTTGGATCCATTAGATATAAAACACAGTCAGCATGCTGTATTCGATTTCACTATGAGCACGTACCAATTAAAGCTCTACATAAGTGGAATCTGGGGACTGCAAATATTACCAGCCCAGAACCTTTGGATCCATTTGATATAAAACACTGCATTTGATTTTACTATGAGCACGTACCACAGTGCTACGTTATCGGATTTGGGTACTGGTACTGCAAATATTACCAGCCCAGGACCTTTGGATCCATTTGATATAGAACACTGCATTTGATTTTACTATGAGCACGTACCAAAGCTCTACAGAAGTGGAATCTGGGGACTGCAAATGACTCAAAATCATGTGACATGGTGTTGATACAGAGGGGCGTATACATAGAACGCCATCTTTGTTCATTTCAACCATTGCCGTAAGTGACATCAGAATGGGCAGATAGCAATGGCTCATTTCATATGTACTTGAAGGTAAGATTTTTATTTAATGGGTCTACCTGTAAGTCTGTCTATACATTTGATGTAAATCACCAGCATCACATTATCTCATATGAGGTACATGTATGTAAACTCAGTATTTGCCAATTACAAGGAAATTCATGTGGATCTGTCAAACCTGTTAGAATGCAGACATGTGGAATACATGAATCTCCTTATATTCATGACAGAAATAAGTGAAGCGCATTGTTTGTACTTACATGTAGTCTCTTACAAAGAAGTGTGAGACCTTTAAGAAGATTCGTCACAGACGTAGCTTAGTGAATCACAAAATAATAATAAAACAAAAAAAATATAAACCGATGTGAAGGTAAACGTTTTTTTAATGAAATTTCTTTGAGGAAAGTGGACTTTGAGTCTATGTTTTGAAATATGAGCCAGTTAAAGTACTTGAAAAATTTTTTTCTTCGGTGCAGACTATATTTGGTTGCATTAACTCCTGCTACCTAGAGTACTCAAACCACCCAGCTGACCAAGGCAAGCTCAGAGGTGGAGCATTAGACTGGTTTAAATCATACCTTAATGACCGATCTCAATTTGTCTGGGTCAATGATTCAAGTTCATCTACTGTCTCTCTTGATTTTGGGCTACCTCAAGGATCAGTCCTAGGGCCCGTCTTGTTCTCTCTGTATACAATGCCACTTGGTGAAATCATTCGAAAGCATGGTCTATCCTATCATTGTTATGCAGATGATACCCAATTATATATGTCAGTAGACCCTCAACAACACAAGGTTGATTCAGCAATCCAGAAGATGGAAACATGCATTGATGACGTACGTTCTTGGATGACTCACAACTGGCTCAAATTCAACGATGAAAAGACCAAATTTATCATCATAGGTTCAAAGCAGCAATCGTGCAAAGTTCATGTTCCATCCATAAGGGTTGGTGATTCAACCATCATGCCATCAAATAAAGTCAGAAATCTTGGTATTATCTTTGATTCATCTCTATCCATGGAACCTCACCTTACATCAATCTCTAGATCAGTCTGCATGTCGATCCGTAACATCGGACACATACGAAAATATCTTGACAAACACACAACTGAAATACTTGTTCACGCTTTCATCACATCCAAAATTGACATGGGCAATTCACTATTGTATGGCATTAACCTAAATCAACTAAACCGTTTGCAGCGACTACAAAACATCAGTGCCAGACTAATCTCTCTCACTAGTAAACATTCTCACATCACTCCTGTACTAGCAGATCTCCACTGGCTTCCAGTATCATACAGAATCAAATACAAACTTGGCCTATTCGTGTTCAAAATCCTCCTCAACAATGCGCCGGTGTATCTCATCGACCTCATCCACCCGTACTCAACAGCACGCACCGGACTCCGCTCCAGTGAGCTCATGATGCTTCACGAGCCCAGGACCTCCACTCTATGGGGTGACAGATCCTTTGTTGCAGCGTCAGCCCGAGTGTGGAACCAACTCCCTCTGGCTATCAAATCATCTCCATCCATCACAACATTTAAGACAAACATAAAATCTCACCTGTACAAACAAGCTTATTCTCACAATACACAATCCTAACTTGACTTTCTCCTCGAGCGCCATGAGTGCCTATTTTTGGCGGATACCGGCGCTTTACAAATGTTCTTTTACTATTATTATTATTATTAAAACGTCTGCACAGGAGGTACTGGGTTCGAGTCCCACCTGAGTAACAGTAAGAGTGCCCTTTTGTATACAATCCCCCGTTTTACACCAGTGTTCCCCCCCCCCATATTTGTAAAGAGTGCCCTTTTTTTTTTTAAAACAAGTGCCCTTTTTGTTACCAGCGGTCTTTTATGTGTGCCCTTTTTGGAATTTCGCGCGACCATCGCCAATTTTTCCACCCTGAAAAGTGCCACATATTGTCGATGATCATGCGGTTTGAAAAGCACCCTTAACCTTAATTTTCTATTTTATGGAGGTCATTTTCACGGAGGGATGTGCGACTGCTATTTTTACAAACTTTTTACACTGAGTACACAGTGTTTAGGGCAAAACCCAGTGTTAGAAAAAAAATTCAATTTTGTTGTGAACTGTTTCATTCAGACCTGTAGCCACGTCCTCATCAAGTCAATGAAAAATCATTTTTTGTCAGGTCAACTCACAAACTATTTATAAAACAAACTGTGCCAAAAGCATTTTTTTGCCATTGAAAACCTTTTTACTTGAGACCTACTTTTGTTTTGACTTGTTATGAACTTTATTACAACTTACATTAGACGTAGAAAATGTCCCAGATAACAGCTGAAGAGAATTTTTTAATGTAACATTTTCAGGACAAAGTATGCTCTTTCATAAACATGGTCACCCTATTATACAAATTGCTATTTTCTTTTGGAAAAACATAACTAACATCAGGTTTTGAATCAAGCACATAGTGTATGAATAAACCTTCAAGTTTATGAATACTCTACTTGACAAAATGTTTTAAACTTTACCAAATGATCATTTGAAGTTGAATACATGTAATTCCAAAACCTTTTAATAAAAGGGAAAATACAACATTTGCAAACATCAAAAAATAAAACTACCAAATCATTTTAAAATACCTTGCTGGACTGTTAGTGAATGACAGTGTAAAGCATCCTGTAAAATCATGGCACCTGGTATACTGTCATTTTCAAGAAAAGTGGTATTTTTGTATCAATTTCCAGCGCTGATCGGCCGATGAGCGTAGGAAAAAAACTGGCTTTTTTTCAAATACTGGCCCCAATTGACCATCGCACTTGTTTGCAATCGATTACAAACCTATGAACGGGTACGAGCCAGCTAAACTGGTTCCCTGACCTTACAATTCCCCAATGTATGTAAACTGCTCTGTTTCTTCTTATATGGAGTCAGGGAACCAGACTACAGAAAAATGATTGTTTTTCTTGGTTTTTATAGCATTTTCGAACCAAAAACCTCAAAAAAGTCAGTGTAACTATATTTGCTATATATTTCCAACCCCCCAATTCCATCCATTTCTGAAAATTACAGCAAAAGCAAATGATGTATATTCCCTTTAATGTGCTTCATTTGTAGGTTAAAGGTCCATCCTATCGCACCAAGCCCAACAGTGAAGATGGCATCTAATGTTACAGTGCAATCAGTGTTGGAGAAGATTAGTGTGGATCATCTGGAATGCTCCATCTGCACCAACCGTTTCAGGCAGCCCAAACTGCTGGACTGTTTGCATAGTTTTTGCCTGCAATGCCTCCAAGAGCTCAGACAGAGCCAAGATCCTAGTGGTACAAAGCTGACATGTCCTCTGTGCAGACGTGAAACCATGTTGAAAGGGTCTGGGGTTGCTGATCTCCCTAATAACTTTGCATTCAGTGCCCTGGTGGAGGAAGTTACAATGCAGGAAAAGCTACTGAAAGGTCAAGGGTCAGAGATCAAATGTCAAGCCTGTGATGAGGAGAATCAAGCTATTTCAAGATGCATAGACTGTGATCATTCCTGTGTCAAGAATGTCAAAAGGCTCATAAACGTATGACTGTCATGAAATCTCATAAAATCTACACACTGGCTCAACTTCGATCAGGAGAGATTGTCTACAAGAGTAAACTAA